TTAACTACCATGCCACTTGCTGACCCCAACTATATTAAAATTAAAGGCATGAGTAACAAGTGAAAATAGGAACCTAAAAGGATATATTTGTAACGCATAAAACCTACAAAGTGACAGTATCCAAAAGTTTAAAGACTTCTTTAAAATAAAATAGCTTTATTAAAAAAAAAAGAAAAAAAGGGGGCCAGCAGGTGGTGTGGAGGTTAAAGGTGCTGGATTTCCACTTGGTCGAACACAGTTCAAGTCCTGGACCTGGCTACTTGCTTCCTCACTTTCTCTCTCTCTCTCACTCACTAACTCTCACTCTATCCCTCTCTGGTCAAATTAAAATAAATTAATTAAATTAAATAGTTCTTTAAAAAAGAAAAGAAAGAAAGAAAAAGGAACAAAAATACACAAAGTTGGGACCAGACGGGTTAATAAACCTTAATAAAATAATCTGACTATCAATCAGGGAAATACAAATCAAACCACAAAAAGATGCTGCTTTGGGGCCAGCAGGTGGCATGCTAGTTAAGGGTGCCGGACTCCCACATGGCTGACTGTAGTTCGAGTTCCGGACCTGACAGCTTGCCTTCTCACTTTGTCTTCCCCCACCCCGGCCCCGGTCAAATTTAAATAAATAAATAAATAATTCTTATAAAAAATAGATATTCTTTCATACTGATGACATAGGTTAAAAAACATTAAATTCTGGCAATAGCAAGTGTTGACAAGGATGTGAAACATTGGAAATTCTCATATGCTGCTCAGCATGATCACTCTGAACAGCAACTGATAGTACCCAGCAAACCTACAAACATGTAGACCCTACAACCCAGAAATCCCCCTCTAGCATATCCACTAGTGTGAGTATGTAATCTTAGATTATCACACATGCACAGAGAGTTGTACAAGAATATTCTTTAAAACATTTGTGACCAAAAAATGGAACAAGCAGATTTAGATTCTCAGAAACAAGCTAGGTGACCATCAAAGAAAGAAGGAAAGAACAGTTTAAATGAACAAGCTAGACCAACATGTTTAGATACAGATGATCTCAAAGTCACTGCTAAACAAAAATGCTGCAGAAAGACATATGTCTTTTTTACATAAAGATATAATTAATAAAAAGTTCACTGACATGCAAAACCCTGTGTGTTGTTTAAGGGTATGTAAAGTATGGGCATGATAAACTAATTCAGTATAGTGGTTAGCACTGAGAAGAAAGGAAGAGTGGGACTGGGGAAAGAAGCCCAGCCGTGATATGATGTGCAGGATGCTGCTGCTCGCCAGGTTAAGGCCACCCAGAAGGCCTGGGTTCAATTCCCACCCTAAAAAGTCAGGCACAATAGCACCTGCCTCTAATCCCAACTACTCAGGAGGCCGGAGCAGTAGAACAGAGACACAGAAAAACCCTATCTAAAACAGCACACACATATACACAAACATAGGCCACATCATTGAAAATTTAAAAAAAGGTTGCAGAGCCAAGAGATGACACAGCGGTTACATTGCTACATTGCTGGATTCTCGCATGGCTGACTGTGGTTCAAGTCCCAGACCTAGTGGCTTGAAAATCATACCAGGCGTGTGTGCGCCCAAGATCCCAGGAGGAGAATGGAAGAAAAAGGATGATAACAGGCCATCCCCTCTGGGGGGTGAATTCTCGCTTTCTGTCTCTCTGTCTCTTCCTGGTGTGAGCACAAGAACCCTATGGCAAAAACCTCCTTAAAAAAATAGGATGGGAAGGAACATACTTCGATTATATGTAATTTTTTTTCTTAAGCTCAACAATAACACATGGATATTTACTATATTATTGTCTATATTTATCTAAGCCTGAAATATAACAATTCACTTAATAAAATCAGCATATTATTTATTAAGCATGACTTCTTCAGCCTGGCTTTAAGACTCTCTACAATATTATTCCAGCCTACTTCTCTAGCCTTGTCCTTCACTATCTCCTATAACAGTGTTTCTAAATCTTGGACATGTATAAACCTCTTTTAGTATTTTTATTATGTGTACCATCTTTATTATGATTAATGAATATTTTTCATCATTGTTAACTTAAGTAGCCTTGTACAAATCAATTATGAATGGGAAAGTACATATTTGATATGCCAGTCATATAAATATTCAAATGTTTGTGATAGTACCACCTGAAAACATCGAGTGTCACACATTGGGTTACACTGTCTTAGATCAGAGATTCTCAGATTCGATGTGTGAGATTGCTTGGGAGGCTTGATAGAAATGGAGACCCCCACCCCAGGTCCTGCTGCAGTGGCCCAGCAGTAGGTAGTACAGCTCTCTACAGTGCTGGAAGCCATATGGAGATCAGGATTCCGTTCCCTGGTCACCCTGTAAGCACCAGGCACACATATACCTGTGATCCTAGGAAGCTGGGGGAGCTGAGAGTATGATCTTGGAAAAAAAGAAAGAAATGGAGACTCCGAGGCCTCTGATTCAGGCAGCCAGAAGACAGAAATCCTGTCTGATATATGTCCTTGGCAACTTGAACACTCTCTAGACAAACTCTAGCCTTCCTCCTCTATACCTTTCTTTTTGTTATTTCCTCAGCTTAATGTACTCATCCCTCTCCCTAAGCCAATGGAAACCAAGCCTACATTTTAAGGCCCATCTTAAAGATTGCTACCACGATAAAATACTTTTACTAGAATATAACGTCTCTCTCTTTCAATATTCTCCCTTCCTCCATCAAGTTATTTCCATATGGATGCTTTTCATATTCAATGTAATATATGTCCACTTGTCTCATTCTCCTTCCTCAAGTGTAAATGTTACTTGACTACTTCAAAAGTAGAATTACATGAGAGGATTTCAAAAAGTTCATGAACAAACGTGTATTTTGAAAATGCTATGAACTTCAAAGTTGTTCTGCACTGCAATAAACTCATACTTTAATTTATTATTCTACAACCTTTTGGAAGTTCCTTCCTATCCTGTTCATTTTATGCTTTGCATACAATAGTTACTCAGACACTTGCTAAACTGAACTCTGCTAAACACTGAATATATTTAACAATTCCAATGAAATTTTCTAAATTGTAAGACATTAGTATATTCATTCATAAAGCATTACAAATTAAACATGAGATTCTAGACTACCTAGCGTCATTTTTGAAATGAGGTAACTAAAAATGTAACCTGTAGAGAAACACATCATTTTTAAGTTTTTAATTTTTTGAAAGAAAAAAGTTTAACTCTTTTTAAAGAAAAACTGCTTAACTTACAATCTTCCGGGCAAAAGTAAATGACGCAGTTATTAATTGACTGAGTTGACACTGCCTCAAAAACTATTAACGTAAAGACAACATTAAAGCAGTTAGTTAAAACTGAGTCTGACAAATTTCTCAGTACCTCCAAAAGATATTTTGACATGGCTTCTCTTTGCTTTTATTATTGTATATTATTTTGATGCACCAACGGCAATCATTTCTAAGTATTAGGTCGTGGGGAAAGTCATGATGTATTTTTCTATGTTTTTCTATGCAAAAATGCATCATGACTCTCCCAATGAACCAGTATTTTTCCAGTGTAAAAATTGTTAATGACTATTCTGTTTTAAATCAGAAAACATCAACATGTAACTTAATTTATGAATCTGTTTTTTTTTTTTTTAATTTGGTAATAATGGTTTGGTTTGTTTCTACTCCTGGAATGTATTGCTTTATTGTTTTATGCACACTTATTTTAATCTAGATTAAGAACAAATGAATGGAAACAGAAAAGTGAGCTTTCATTAATAGAAATGTTCATTGACATCAATGCATATCAATCACTGTCTGGATTTATATATTTTAACATACATATGATACTTCATAAAGACAAAAATTTAATCAAACTAAAATATACAAATGTATACACTAATTTCAAGTAATAAAAAGGGGCAAAGATGGCGAACACATATCTTGTTCTGCTCACTCGCTTCCCAGGTTGAAAAAGGAGAATGAAAAGACGACAACTATGAAAAATGAAGAATAAGAAAAGGTTCTCACATATCTCATTTTCTCCTCTCCTCATTCATTTCTCTGACATGTTCATGTTAAATGTCCTTTTTCACATGGCAGGTCAAGTAAACTAAACCTAGCTTACATAAAACTTTTGCATTCTATATTTACATTATAAAGACAATATTTCAACCTATTATGTTCATTTTCCTGAATAAAATTCATTGGAAATAAAGCAGTAAAAAGTTACTATGATATTTGAGCTCAAGTTGGGAATTCCAAAATAAGCTTCTAATACTGCTTTTACTTACCATAAAAAGATAGCCTATAAATATTAACACTAATAAAAAGACCCATCCAATTATGCTTACTTTTAAAATAAATAACCATTTTCTTTATTTTCTAAAGTATCAAATGTAGACACACACTAAGATTCTATAAATGCTTTAGCAGTACTCAAAAACCAAAGAAAAAAAGGCAGAAGTTTAAGAGTAATAAGAAGAAGTTAAATAAGCCTATTCCGAAAGATCCTATAAGTAGAATAGATAAGATTAGACAAGCTTATTGGAAGATAACAACACAGCTCATTTGATAAAGCAGTTCCAAGAAATCCAAAAATACCATTTCTCTTTTTAAAAAAATCAAAGAAGCACTTGGACTAACAAGAAATAATGCACAATTTGGCTTGATCAAATACTTCATTAATTTTTTTCTACCCCTAAGGGATTGCCCTTTTAAAAATCTTCAAATAGAATATAACCTAATTGCTTGCATAAGACTACAGTTTGCAGCGGCATTTCTATTTCAACAGTGCCACCTAGTGGAACAATCAATACTTTCAACTGGTCACTAGTTGGTTCCATTTGTCTCAAAAGCTGATTTCCCCAATAGTTTTCTGGTTCACAGGACTCTTAATGTTAACATTTAAGGGGCAATTTTACTAAAGTATCATAACTCAAAGTGTCTTGTCTTCTGACAGACTAACTCAAAAAGCAATTAGGTCATTTACAAATACTATTCATATATTTCACATCAAGTTACCTTAGTGATTTCTTCAGAAGCTCGTTTGAAGTCCTGAATATTTCGACAATAAAATCCTATTGTACAGCTAGGATCCATTTTTCGAAATGACATCTTTTTAGGAGAAGGGCAGTGGAATGTCTGCAATTGTTGAAATTCTTTGGGTTAATTTACCTTTATTTGATAGACATACAAATATACAAGAATATGATTTGCTATTGAAATGTGCTCTCTAGCTTTTTCTCAAAACTATGAACATATTTCTCAAATGGTATGCTGGTCCATCCTATGCAGATGGTACAGCCCACTCTCTAAAGCTGGAAAACACAAGAGCCAGCGCTGTAATTCAACGCACCAAATCACTACCTTACCTGACATTAGTGCCGTTCTGCAGTTGAAGAAAGTGATACGTATTTTTAACACTTGAAGAAAGGAAGAAAAATGTCCCATGGAAAAAGGCATGCACAGGCTAGTACGAGGCTTAGAATCAAGTCAGCCGTTTCTGTGAAACTGCAGTTCAGTCTGTCATGTTAGAGGTTTTTTTAATGTGTATAAGCCTCTCAATCGTGAATAGTGATATCAAGACTTTAAACAAATACACAGATTCATGTAAATGTTATGATATGAAAAGAAGTCAACATAAGAGTTTTAGCAACTGACACAACTACATAACTGTGTATTCTTCCTATTTGCTTTCAGCTCGTGTTGAGGGTGCACGATGGAGCAGGTGAACACCATCCTACGATGGTCCTTGCCCGCCTTCTCATGAATCCTCTTGTCCTCTTGGCTACCTTTCTCAACCAGTCGCAGTATCATAAATGGGCTGGGTAAGTCGCCCTAGTTTCCCAACTCTTGCTAATGGAATGTGGTATATTAGTACGGCTCGGCATCTTTAGGCAATGTAAAAATAGGG